CTCACAATCTTTCGGATCCTCTGCACTGCTAAACTAGAGGGTTCCTGCTTCCGGGCACAGGAGGAAGGAATTCAGTGCCTCACTGTTTCTAGGTTGACCCTGATTAAAATGCCTGCACTAGGTTTTCATCCAAAAGTCATCTCAATATCTTACAAGGATAAGGATTGTAGCTGAAAAATGATGCTTGTAACCATATTACTCCCTCTCCACCCCCCATTTACACTGACACCCTAAAATGAATGCTCTTGGCCCTCCTCCCCACTCCTCCATCACCGGCAATTTTCTTTTCCTTGTTCATGTTTCCAAAACAGTTTATCTTTTTATCTCCTTGGAAGAAAAGTACTCTGCAAATCAAAGGTATCATTAGTATTGTTATTATTTTGCTATTGAAATCTCTTGAATTCATTCTGGATTATTCTTGTGCTTTTTTGGGTCTGCAATATATAATGCCTCCTAAATCACCCCCACTGGGCTGAACAAAAAAGAAAAATTGCATCTTCAGGCCTAATCCCCTGCTCCGCCCTGTCTCCTGCTGGCCCTGGCTCCTACCAACACAAGCACTCCAGGCAGAACAGCTCCTTGGTCCTGTGCCTAGCTCACACTGCCATGTTCCCAGTGAGATCCTCCTTTGTAACCCAGGATGGAGGCCCCGGGGTGTCCTCTAAGTGCAGTGTGAAGGTGTTAACCCAACTCCATGCCTCTCTCCCCCTGGGGAGTTTCTCTTCCTCTGCAACTGGTCTAGCTGGCAACTGAGAACTCCCTGCTGGGCGGCAGACACGGTGACCACCCCCCTTCCCAAAAGACACATCCCAGTTCCCTTCACCCAGAAAATTAGTGAAAGAAGTGGTCCCACACCCTTGGCAGCTGCGCATTGACCTTCCAGCACAAAAGAAGCGATTCTCCTCTAGACAAGACGTCATACCACTTGAGGGGCTGGAAGAGGGGGGAGGAAGCATCATACTTATTACTTGCCTCTTCTTTTGTTACATATGACATTTCTGGGTAAGGATCAACGTTTCCAAAGTTGCTGCTCACTCCCAATTTCCTTTCCCAACGCCTCTCAGCCTGTACCCTCTAGGATGCCCTTTGTTCTTTTGGCCGCCTCTGAGGGGCTCCTGTAATCTTCTGATGCCCTTCCCCGCTCCCCAAGGGAGCTTCTGCAAGTTACGGCCTCTTGCTTTGTTCCTCCCTTTCCTTGCTTCCCTCCACTCACACTCTAGTTTAGCCTCCTGTCTTCTTGATGCTCTTCCATTCCCTGGGAGATTTATGTCACCATGAACCTCTACCTCTGGGGTAGATATCTGACAGCCCTCTTTGGTGATTCCTGCCAACGAGTCAGGAGAGCAAGTTGCTTCGATTCTTCCCAATAGGTGGATGACATCCCAGATGAATCCTCAACTCAGGATATCGTTGACAGGTAAATGCAAGTTCTCACTTTCATCCCAACACGCTCAGAGCAGCATGGCACACAGGTAAACCCAACGAGAGATCTGGGCTTCACCAGAATTTGAACTTTCAGACCCACGAAATTACTAGGCAGGACAGGACACTCTGGAAATGCTAAAGCAAAACACCAGAAAGCGGGGAAGAGAACACCTTTCCTAGAGTGTCCGAAGTAAAAGGCACCAAGCTTGTGCCACTCACATTCCCTAGACTGTCTCGGAACTCCAGATCCGGTGGGCAGCAGGGAGTCGCCAGTCCTGCAAGCCCATTATTTCTCTAAAGCTACTTAGGATGTGGGTGTGCAGGCTGGATAGGATGGGTCTTGAAGATGAAGGAGGGCACGAAAGGAAATCGTGGGCAAATTGAAATGGTAAAGGGAAAAAATAAAGCAAGTTCTAAGTTTATGGATGACAAGAGAATCGATTCCTTTTCACCCCAGGGCAGAACATGCCTCTTCTCTGCAGGAGGCAAATTGTGCTGTGACATTATCCCTCTCTGTACAAAGCATGCAGTCCTGACAGCTCAGGGAGGAGGCAACCCCAGCAAGGGGAAGCCCACAAGTAGCCCATCGACAGCTCTCCATCTCCTTGCAGGGAGCCAGGCCCAGGCAGGTTGGCAGGGAGAAAAGGGAGGCATGCGATTTGACATTTCCACAGTCACCTTCAGAAAGATAAATAAGTACTTAATCTCAATCTACATGAAGAGCCCAAACTTTAAAAGAATAGGGGCACAACATATTACTGAAGTTAATTATACCTTAATTTCATTCTCTAAAAGGTTACGAAAACAAGTAAAGGTGAATAAATATTTGAAAAATTAGGAGGGAAAAGATGATTGGAAAGGACTTTAAGAGTTTACCTAAATGTTTTGTTATTAAAGTCTTCAGAGCGCTGTTTGGAGCACTCACTCCCTCTGTATGAGAACTAAGAGGAGCAGAAGCAGGAAGCTTGAGAATTGCGTTTCCAGAAACTGCAAGATGACACGCAGGTTCCCACTGCGAGGGGTGTCGGGTGGCAGATGGATGTATCGCCAGAGTGCCAGATATGGCCCTAAATAGAACCCTGGACATTTGTTTTCTCCGAGTAGAGGGCCATCCCTGAGTCTCTGCACATTTCCTTGGAAAGCATCCCAGGAGGAAGAGCCTTCGGGAGGTAGGGGTCAGACTGTGGCTCTGTGGGGAATGGGAGGTGCAACTTCAGTCAGGGGCATGGGGGGATGCAACCTCGGCCAGGGGGATGACAGCCAGAGCCATGCAGAGCCTGTGGGCTAGTCCTCTCATGACTCACAGAAAGTGATTATGCTATTCAATAATTTGATAAGTATAGGGCATCAGGTAGGGGTTGGGCATAGTATGTGAATTAAGCATGTATGTGTAAAGGGTCAAATAGATTCCTCAGGGGAATTCACAATACTTAAAACAATATCCGCATTAAAATAAATGTCCACAGTTCAAGTCAAAAGAGAATCTATCACAATGAAGTCCATAAAATGTCAACTCACTTGACCCTTACTTCCTGTAGTCAGATGCTGTTCAAGGTACCTACAGAGCTCAATGATGTAGGGTATTCTGACTGGCTGCATCCACTTTGGTCTCATCTTTCCTTAGACCTGTTTTGGAGTCCCATGGATGATGCGTCTACCATTTGATAGGTTGGCAGCGCTGGTCAAACTCAGAGCACTCAGGAAAATCAAGGAACTAAGAATTGCATGATGGTGTGGTTTCTTCCTAGTGCACTCAGGGCTAAGGAGAGATGAAACAGGGCATTTAACCTCCATAGAAAAGTACTTAAATATTCAAATGAGGCAGTTAAGAAATAGCGCTGATGATTCAGACAGCCATAGAGGCACTTAGGCACCTATAGACTTCTTATTCCAAGCTAAAGAAGAATTGTGTGGATTTGCCGCAAAAGAACACAAAACGCTGATTAAGATGTTTACTGGTTCCATGACCTGTGTGTAGGGAGAACGCTTGGATCCTTCTTTCAGGAAGCCCACATGCAAACTTTTTAGAGGTGCAGGAGAATAAGAGCATATGTGAGTGTGTATATATGTGTGTGTGTGTGTGTGTATGTGTGTGTGTGTGTGTGTGTAGTTGTGTGTCCATAGCAAGCGTGCACACATCCAAGAAAGAAGATAATCTCACAAATGGCAATATAACCAAACTGTTTCTATAACGGTGTTCTGAGATAGTTCTTATTCATTCAGCCTGAAAACTCTGGGGAAGGCAATTTATCTTCCTGCTGCTGTAGGGAGCCCTGGTGAGGTGCACACAACTCATGAATACATGAGTGCGAGTGTGTGTATGTGTGAACATTATAATTATATACAGGGTATAACATAATCACATCGGGGGGGGGAGCACTGCTCGGGTTTAATCAGGATGATCATAAGCAAAGTTTGATAAGGGGAAATGTGGAGGAGCCACAGTACGGTGGAAGAGGTAAGGAAAGCGGTTGGGATTTTGCTTACATTGGATTCTCCCTGACTGACAGGCGAAGAAAGGGAGACATGCTGTTTGCTTGCAAAGCCAGCCACCCATGGTGGTGCTCTGCTTTCCTGAAAACTTTTACCCTTCATTTAATCAACAGATGGACATGCTCTGTTGTTGATTTTTCTGAGATTCCTGTCCCTCTCAGAGTTGTGCTGGCTGGCACAAATGCTGCCTCAGATGGCAGAGGCAGCACTGGCATTCAGATTGAGTGGGAAGGAACTGGTTTATTTATCCCCTTCGAACTCAATTCCACAGGTGACTCCTGATGACTTTGGCTAAGCAGGCACCCATAATCCCTCCCCGAATTCTCTGTCTCTCTCTCAGCCACTCTCAGCCCCACACAGCCCGGGTGGCAGGGAGCCCAGAGGTGGCAAAGTTCTTTTCTGAAGGTCCACCAGCTCCCCTGCCCCTGCCAGGCCGCAGAAAAGAAACAATCAGCGCCAGGGGCGAAATTCTATTTTATACTCTGAATCTAGTGCTGTGAAGGGCTTGGAATTCAGTCTTATTCAGAGAACTCGATTAAATTCAATGAAACTCTTTACAAGCTTTTCCCAAGCACTGCAAATTACCCCCACGGTACATTCGGTAATTGCAGCCCCTTTTGCAACTGTGCGACGCACACACTCGCTTTTAAACACACTCATGCAAGTCAGACCTCAGCGGAGCCGAAAATCCACCTAAACAAAGCTCTCCTTCCCTGCTCGCTCCCTCTCCAGCCGGGGTCTGAAGGAAAGGAGGTGCCCAGAAGTTCGGGGCGGCACGAATCTTGCCTCATTAACATACTGGGGGCAAAAAGGACTCATTTGCATTGAAGAGTTTGAGCTGGATGTTGACAAGTGAGAGGAGAAAGTCACCCCCCACCCCACGTCCCTTCCTTTCGAAGGAAATAAACAGTACCATTTTGTTGCGTTTTCAGAGGCAAAGGAGCAATGTCAGTGCATCTCGACCGGGCAAGAGAGGCGCATCCATCAGCTGAGTTTCCGAAGCCTCCCACCTCCCTCGCTCTGCCTCCCGCGCCCTGACGGCCCCGCCACTTTCCCTGCAACTCCAGGAGAATGGGTCCTACCTTGACTGAAGAGGAAGAAGCAGACGAGGAGCAGGTGGAGCTGGAAAGGTTTCATTCCTCGGCGCGGCGAGGGCGAGCCGGCGGGCAACTTGGGCTCGCGGTGAGTTTCTCCTCCTCGGCTCTCCCGGCTCAGCCTGAGCCGCGGTCCTCGCCGGGTCGCCCACCAGCCGTCCGTCGGTCCCCGGGGCCTCGGGCTCTTGCGTCTGCGGTCTCTGCAGCCAGCCAACACAAGTGGCCTGTCTCTAGCCGCCTCGGGAAGCCGGGGTCGTCAGCAGCGTCCCCTCTCGGAGCAGATCCATCTCCGCTCCCGGCCTCCCGGGCGCACAGCTTCCTCCCGGCTCCTCCCACCGCCAGCGAGCGAGCGAGCGAGGGACCAGTGACAGAAGGGCTCCTTTCACTGGAGCTGGGGAGGGGAGAGGGAGGGTCATAATTAAAGAGGAAACACTTGGAAAAGGAGATCTATGCAAAACAGAGGGGGGGGGAGGGGCTCTATTCTTTATTTCGGGGTGTTTTTTTTTTTTCTTCCCTAAATAGTGGGGAATTCAGCTTTGCCACCATTAACGGCCAAAAGGCACCTTGGACAGCAAGTGGAGCTGTGACTTTTTTTGTCCACACGATGTAATGTTGTTTAACGGGAGTGAAGTTAAAGATGATTATATGCATGTGCACGCATTGAAACACGCACGCCTCCCTCTTGTACAAGGGACTGGAAACTGGGCTGAAAGGGAGAAGGGAAGAGGCAAGGGAGGATGCATCTTTCCCCAGAAAGGACCTGGCCAGTGTGTGCAGCAGGAGTCTCAGAGTTGGGGAAGAGACAAGCATGCTTTGCATTTTTGAGACTTTCCTAGGAGGGGTAGGTAGGTAATAAAACCTGAACGGCTGGACCTCAGTGTGCTTTGTGATACTCCTAGAAAACAAAATGAAGGAACTAGAGGGAAACTACATAGGTTTTTGACACATGCTCATTTATTATTATTATTCTGGTTTGTGCATTTCCTACCAAGGATAGGGGAGCAGCCTGTCTTTTGCATTTGCAGCCTCTCTCTCAAGTGCTCCACCACTCTCTGTCTTTTCTCCAAGAGGTGCTGAGAATCCTATACAGAAGGAGAGGCCAAGGTCATATGCAACTGCTTCCTAAGAACCTTCAGGTCTTTTACCTGTCATGAAACCTACGATGGAATCAAACTCTATTTCTTCCAGGATGTCAAAGTGAATTTATCTAGGTATGTTTACTTGATAGACATTTAGATATGCCTGGTATAAGCAGAGGAAATAAAATTCTAGGCACAGACCATGGCTTCAGGAACTCATGATTTAGTGTGAAAGTAGAGTATACACATAAGATGCAAACTATAAGGACAGTTACAAAACAACGTATAAAATATGCAGCATTATACAAAAGGGGTGGTAATGAGTAAAGGGAGGAAAATGAAAGATGCTCTCTCGATTTGTGCCATTCAATTATAAAATCAACCATTACTTTTCTTCAGTCACTGGACCTTGGGGAGGTCTTTTGGGAAACCCTTAGCCTTTCTTCCATTAGTATTTTGGCAACTCTGCTGACTGCAAGGCACATTATAACTCCATGTTTCCATGTGGATGTATCCGTTGGCATTTAGGAACAAGAGAGCTGTGGGGGCACCTGGCAAAGGGTGTGCTGGTAGGAGCTGACATCTGGTGGTTCACATCAAAGGCCTACAAATTAGTAGGTGTCTGCTGTGTTGACTTTTCTATTCTTAATGTAATAGTTTATTTAACTGCATCCCTTAGAGGCTGTTAAACATATCAAATGGAAATCTGTAAGCAAGCTTTGGGGGAGGGGGGTGGCGGAGGCGGGACACCAAGCAACAGAAACTAAGAGGATCCAAAAGAAGCACCTCATCAACTGAATTAGCAAAGGAGGTTCAGAAGCAGTGTCTGCAGCGTTAGTCCATCAACTCGTTATAACAGACAATACAACAAAACAGAAGTGGCAAATCAGAAACACATGCAAAAGATGAATAATTCTAAACAACATACGCCAAATAACATTAAGAGTGAAAAAATGGTATGTATAGTGCTGTAACTTTAGTAGCTGCTTCCATTAAACCTAGGAGGGTAAGGAGAAATTTAAGATCTGGGTAGGATTTCTAAGGCCAAGGCTTGTGAATTTAGAATGGAGATTGTGCCATATAAAGCAACATTTTATCTTTTAACATTTTAGCATTTATCTTTTAAGCTGTTGTTTAATTTTGGTTGCTAATTCCTAAGTGTCCTGGGGCCCAGATTTGCTTAATTCGGCCCAGAGGGAAATATTACAAAACCAGAGTTACGAGGCCAGTGAACGTACACCAAATACACGAAAATCAGGTCCACGTACAGCGTGTGCGCTCCCCACGTACTCTTGGACAGGAGAGGGTTGGTGTGAGTCCGAGGTTGGAAAGACCTTGTCTCGATCTCCTGCTGGTCTCAGAGATTGGCTTCATGACCCCCCGCCGTCTGGGCCTGTTCCCTTCCCCACCCTTTCCGCCCCTGCCTGCAGCCTCTGGTTTCTGTCGGGAAGGTAAAAGCCTGGATTAAGTGATGAGCTGCCTGCCTCTAAAACGACCGGAAAAACCACGGCAATCTTCGGCAGCCACCACGTGGGGCAGCGAGAACGACAGTGGTACCTGCAGGACCCGCAGCCGGCCGGGCCCTGGCGCCAGCCCCGACGGCGGCCCCGCCACCTCCGCCGGGCTTGTCCTGGTCCTCACCTCCTCCGGGGGCTCGATTAACCTCCAGGCGCTGCAAGGGGCCTGCACGCAGTTCCCGGCGAGGAGGGAGGAGAGAGGCGCAAGGAACGGACGGCTCTACCTGATGGAGAAGAGCTGAGAGTCTTAGACCCGGGAACAGAGAGGGGAGGGCAGGGGAGGTAGGGGACGGGAGCGCAGGGGAGCGCGCTGCGAGGGGAGGGGAGGAGAGGAGAGGAGAGGGGAGAGCACCGCGAGGGAAGGGGAGGGGAGGGAAGGGAAGAGCACCGCGTGGGAAGGGGAGTGCAGTGGAGGGAGGGGAGGAGAGACCGCTACACTTGGTGAGAACCTCTGCGGTCGCAGCACCGCGCGGGGGACCGGGTGTCTGGGCACGCCCATGGAAGTGACAGCCCTAAAGAGACAGCAGAAAACCAGCAACTTGAAAAACCGCCCGAATTCCTATTCTCGGCAAATCCAGGCTCCAGGTCTCGGATGCGCGTACCGTGCAAACCGGGGTCCCTCACCAGCAGGTGGCATCTTCTCTAGCGTTTCTCGTGGCGTGTAGCCCAGGAGATCGAGTTCACCTAGTCCCAAGCCCTCCTTCCCAGGCCTTCGATGACAAGTGCTGTGTCCTTTGAACCACTCTACTCTGCAAGCAGGAGTGCGGTCGCCAAGAGCATGAAGATTGGCTCCAGATTCTGCTGCTCGCTTGGGCAAGAAGTTTCAGAAGAGCAAGTCTTCACAGGACAGTTTCCAAGTTTGCTCTCCTGGTAGCAGTCATGCCCCTAGAGTTTTCTGAGGTCTGGGACAGAGAATGAGGCACGGAGTTCTGGGTCTAGGTGCAGGGGTGTGGGGGTAGAGCTATTCAGGGCCCTGAGCATGCCCTAGTTCAGACAGACCGTGCAGACCCGGCTCATTGCTACTTTTCCGTGACCTTCCTTTGGCCGTTTGTCCACTGTCCGTAACATTTCTTATTCCTTCGATTTGTGCAAAGGCCTCCTTGGGGATATTTAATAAAGACGTGTGGAATGAATACATCAATTCCTGTTCTTGGAAAGTTTGTTCTTCATTTGGGAAAAAGCGTATGTACATGTCTTCATAGAAAAAAAAGTTATGAACTATCTCATTGGCTTTTTAATAGGACAGAAATCGCCCTGAAGGTCATTTGTCAGGTCGAATTCTCTCTGTTTGGGTCCTTCTTGGCCCACTTGTCTGAGGCCCTGTGGGAAGGTCCTGAGAAGTAGCACAGGCTCCACCCTTTAGTCTGGTGGTTCTGCTGGCCTGCCCTCCTCACTCTCTCACGCTGCTCATGATGGCCCCTGCGTTGAAGAGGGACCGCTGCCACAAGTAAAGAGAAGGGGAGGCTGCCATTGGCAGTCATCGTGAGCGGAGAATTTCCTATTTGATGCCTTTTCACAACATTTGTTGCACAGATACATTATAAACCACATTTCCTTTCTTTCTTCTTCTTTTTTTTTTTTTCATATATCCTGCCAGTGCTGGTTAAAACCTCCCTGTCTGGAGATTTAAACATATTTTGAACAGGCCCCTCCTGGGACTTCAGGGTAACCTGACTCTCCATCCTGGATAAGTTAATAAGGGCTCAAAGCTACAGATAATTCCAGAGACCAAATGGTCTTCAGAGGTCCCCCCAGGGTGGCAGCCTGGCTGGCATGGGCAGTCACAATCTTCTAGGCTATTTCTTTTTCATTTATTTGAACCACATTTCTTGCTCACATCTGTGCAGGTAGATTATAAGACCTTAAGCCATGCTCACTCTGGTCAGTGGGAAAGGGCCCCAAGAACCAAGGATGCAGGTTTCAGAAGCATCCCCCAAAGGGTAGCTTGAGCCTGCAGCACCCATTCACCCCAGGCCAGGCTTGAGTGAGGGGTTATAGGGAGCCTTTTCAGCTGGGCTCTGGCCTGGACACAGTCAACTTTTGTAGTCACTTAATGAACCTGGACATAGCTTTCTTCATTTATAAAATTGACTAGCTAGAGACAGTGGCTCTCTGGGATGCCTCGACATTCTAAATTCCTAGTGTCTCCTTTCCAGAGGGCTCACCTCTCAGTCTGGAGACATTTGGTAATGCTTCCCCAGTGCCCTCAGTGTTGGGACCTGTTATTGCCAGTGATGATCCCCAGCCAGAAGAAATTAAATGAGAGTCCTGGAATCAGCATAGGCTCCTTTGCTTTCACTGGTTATGACTTTTTTGGAACTGGTTCATGTTCGTCCTACTCTAAGTGCTCTCAGTCTTTCCCCAACTTTCTCAGCTTGTGAGTTCCCTCCTCTTCATATTTTCCCCAGAACCATGGCCCACATCCAGCCTGGATTCTAGGTTCCAGAACAGCTTTTTTTCACTGTACAGACATAATAGTATTGGATGCAAACCTTTTATTAAAGTACGGGAGTGCTGATGCTAGAGTGGCTAATTGTAAAGACTCTATTTAAAGGCAACAAGGACCATGACACTTTGTATTTTAACTCAATCTTAACAGGAATCATACTTGACTGTTAAATTTTTCTGATTGTGCATCTTTCTCAATGCCGCTTTAGTTCACAGCTGTTCCCCATCTCTCACCCTGGTAGGCAGTAGGCACTCAATATATAATGTTGAATGAATGGTAATGTTTTACCTAGTGCCCCATATCCCATTTCCTGTTGTCTGAATCCAATTTAACTTATTCTTCACTC